TCCCATCCCCACCCCATGCGTGATGACAAAACCAGGTCTTCAGTTTTTTTCTGAAGTCTAAAAGTCTAAAACCTCACTTCTGGGGGAAGAGTATTCCAAAGGGCAGGGGCTACTGCAGAGAAAGCTCGCCTCCTGGACCCCATCAGATGAAATTCTCTTGCAGACGGGGTCTGTAGCATGCCGTCTCTGCATGACCGGGTGGGAGGGGTTGATGTGATGGGGATGAGACGGTCCTTCATATGACAAATCATTTCTCCTTGTAATAAAATAATGGTTATAACAGGGGCAATCAACTGGAAGCATTAGTGTTGAATTTTGCTGCAAAGGAATTATATGGTTGTTTTCTCTAATTTGGCTTATCTGTTTTAATTAAGATACAGCGAGCATTTTGCTCACAGTTGTAGCTGAAAGGAACTAGCTTCCAAGTTACTATTAAACCTCTTACTTGAGCACTGTATTCAGTGCCTCAGCTAATGGACATTTGGAAAATCAGTAGTCTCTGCTTTACTGCACTGCCTCCCTTATTGTTTCCAGATAGAGAAATAAGCACTGAAAAAGGCAATAACCTCATATTGTTTGAAAGAACCATTTCCATATGAATACTGGGTTACTAGGTTGTACTGATATTATCTGCAGACTCTGATCTACAAGAGGCTTTGGTTGTAAAATAGATAGATAGATAGATAGATAGATAGAAAGAAAGAAAGAAAGAAAGAAAGAAAGAAAGAAAGAAAGAAAGAAAGAAAGAAAGAAAGAAAGAAAGAAAGGTGCCTGCCTTCCAGAATACTGTCTGGCATGTAGAAATTTAACAATCCTGGCCTAGGGGACACATCTCCCCAAAGGCCACTGAATGCAAACCACTCAGCCTTACCAGAACTACTGTTTACTTCTGTCAACAAGAAACAGTTCTTAGCAACTTAGCAACTCTTCAAAGAATTTTATCTCTTGTCTGCAGACAGCAGATAGGTGTAATTCCTCTAGAATGAACAAAAATAATGCCTTTTATATGTGAGTGTACACATACTTAACTCTCCCAATAATTGTTTAGTGCTACCCACTAGCAATTGTGGGTAAAACCAAACCAACTTTAACAAGAAAATGCTCTCACAGAACACTGATACTGGCTACAATTCCCAGTGAATTCCAGAAGTATCAGATACTAGTGGTATCATAGAGTGAAAGCCTCTTGAGAATTATAGAAGATCAGGAAATACATCAAAGTGGTTTCAAAACCTACTACATACAGGATTTTCAAGCCTGCTCTGCTAGAATTTGATAATAGTAAACGGAATATGTAACCCTACTGATATCTTTAAAACAATGGGCTACACAGAGTGGTTTGCTAAATCATTATATTTTGCTAATTTAATCTCTGATCTGTTTAAGTTGCTTTGTAATGTTACAGAGAAGATGAACCTTTATAGAAACATGTAGTTTATGTTTTGTATTTTTGTCAGCATGGCAGTTTGACTCAATTATCCATTTTGTTCCAGGAAAGGGGGAGTTTAAAGGCCCCAGGAGGACAGAGCCCAAGTTGGAGGAAAAAGTAGTATGTCCCTATGCTATATATGCCTTGATTGATTAAATTAAGAGATGACACATGGCAAACTCTATCTACATGACTTCAATGCAATTCATGGAAGTCTTGGCAGGAATTACAATCCAATTCAAAAAATCCCATCAAAACATAAATCAAATTAAAATATTAACTGTGCCCTCCTTTTTATAACTTTCTGCTGTAGTATAGCTTCCATAAAGCCTAACCAGATACCCTTAATTATTGTAAGTAGGCAGGAATCTCTATGACGTTCCCTATAGTTCCCTACCACCAATCCAGAGTTAGTTTATTTGTATGCTTTATTTTGTAACTCACTGAGTGAGTGAATAGGAAGAACATACAAGAGTTTGGCAACCCAGTTGGAAGAGGCAGACACAAGAGGAAGAGCCAGGGATGGGAAGATTGCTGATTGTTTACTAATGATAATTCATTGCCAACTGCTGCTAACAATTTCCTGAAAATAGGAAGTAATTATTCCATTCTACTTTGCCCTGGCTAGACCCCTTATAGAATACTGTGTCCAGTTCTGGGCACCATAATTCAAAAAGAACAGTGACAACTGGAGCAAATTCAGAGTATGGCTATCGAGAAGGTGAAGGACCTGGAAATGAAATCCTATGAGGAACAGTTAAAAGATAAGGATATGTTTAGCGTACAGAAGAGACAGCTAAGGGAAGCTACAATAGCAGTCTTCAAATATCTGAAGGGCTATCAAATGGAACAAGGGTAGACTTATTATTTCCTGTCCCAGAGAGCAGGTCTAGAACCAAAGAGTTGAAAGTACAATCAAGTAGGTTCAAGCTAGATTTCAGGATGAATTTCTAGACTGTACAAGCTGTCAGCCAGAGAAACATGAAGTGATTGTGAGGAGGCTGAGAAAGAAATGAGAGGAATTTTAGACAAAGACAACCAACAGATGGGAGATGAGTTTGTTAGTACTTTATTTCATAGGTGGCAGGGTTAATCTGGGCTGCAAAAAAACTAGGAAGAAGAGATTCAAAGAGATTCTGCCTTAATGAACTCACTAATGAAAGAGGGCAGGAGATTCCTATTGCATTTCCAAAATTCTGGACGTTATCTCTAATTTGTTCATTAAAACCCTTTATTGAAATCTGTGTGATTCTTGCTTCCTTGCTTGTGCCCTGAGGTATGGGGCTTGACAGAGCTCTGAAGCTGAATAGTCATGTATCAGAAATGGTGTAGTAGACCCAGCCCTGAGCATTAAGTTAGACTAGATGATCTCTAAGTTACTTTCCAATTCTTCTCTTTCTGTGAACTTATAACTACCCTCACATTTGAGGATTCAGTATTTTCAGTATCCCAGTTCATTCTGAGCTTGGCTCATAAATTGTTCTTTATGTCCTTTCCATTTCTTACGCTTTGGTTCCAGCACCAAAGTTCTATTCTCTTTTCCATCTGCGTCTGCTTGTTACTTTGTTTCCCCATATAGATCCGGATACAGCTTTCCTTGCTGATGAAATAATTACAAGCCTCTCTAGCTAGTCCCATATGTGGCAAAGCTAATATTAAAGTGCAAGCTTCAAGTATTGTGTTTTGCACGGAAAGTCCTGGATAGAGACTTGAGCAATAAAAAATAAAAACTGTTTTCAATAAACCCTCTATCCATTCTCACACCTTAGCGTGCACAAACCACTAAAAACTGGTGATACAGGATAGAAAGCAGTAAGAAACAGAAAACTCAGCAGCTCAAGTTAAACCAAAGGCCTACTGCTATTTTAGAAATAGTAGAGAGTTTTTCTAGATATGAACTAGAGAGCGAGCACAAAACCACTCCATCTCATTTGCAGATACACGTGTAGGACAGCTGCCTTTCTTCCTAAGAAGAAATGTATTTATTTTACTTTATTTTTATATAGCATTTTCAAGTGTGCAAAGTCCTTGACATTTTCCACCATTAGATAGGACTCCTGCGATACACTTGACTTCTTTCTTGTTGCCTTTTCAGCCTTCTCTTTATGGTGGGCTTCCTATCATTTTAAAAAATCACACTATAGTCTTGCTGGAATCACTTGAATTATTCAAAAAACAACAAATAGCTCCAGTTTTAATAGGACTAATAGTTTCATCAGCATTAAAATATAACTAAATTAGTCTAGATCCAATTATTATTGTTTAAGCAGCATAGCTTCAACAAATGGAGCTCCCACAATTATCTTCAAGTTTAAAAAATTTCACAGGAATGATTAGATAAGTTCATATTTCAGAGTAAAGGATAATAGGTCATTTCCTAATTCATTGCAAAATCCAAGCAGCAGACACTTTTCAGTGCCAATATTAATACTTGGGAATAGAGTATTTCTTACAGAATAGTTGAAATAATTAGTGACCTCTTTCATTATTGAATATTTTCACTTTTTTTTTTTTTTGAAAAAGCTCATCTGAACATGTTTGGAGTTTATGCTTCTCTATATTCTCTCAGATATACTACCCCAAAACCATATCAGTATTTTTAGCATATGAAGGTTAACAGATTGTAAATTGCCATCGTGCCAAACTTTTGAATGAAGTTTTCATCTTAAAAATAAAAGTGGAAGAGTAAAATAAAATATAGACAATTAAACAGACAATGAAAGAGAACTGAAAAGTTCTGAGAAGCTGCATTTTAGAGGCATTTTAAGTAATCTTAATAACCTTTATTCACACACGGTTTAAGAGATCATATGAAACTAGGTAGGCTAAACATGAAAAAAATGAAGTCCAAACATATAAATAATAAAATATTTTTTTAACTTATGCACATTTTTCTTAAATAAATGTTACAGATTTTAAAATCAACTACAGTTTAAATGACTATCGCCATAGACATTTAACAAAAAGATCCCTAAGCCAGCCTTCCTCAAACTTCCTGGGGCTACAAACTTCCCAAATGCATAGCCCAAAGAGTTTACAGTAGAATCCCACACTGG